ATCTTGTGTCTGTTCTAGTCTTGTTAGATCTCAGTGCTGCCTTTGACACAGTTGATCACAATGTTCTTTTAGAAAGACTTGAACATGTTGTAGGGATCAAAGGAACAGCGCTAGGCTGGTTTAAATCCTACCTGTCTGACAGATTTCATTTTGCAAATGTACATGACAAATCATCTTCATACTCCATGGTTACTTGTGGAGTACCACAGGGTTCAGTGCTTGGACCAATTCTTTTTACTATGTATATGCTCCCAATTGGTAAAATCATTAGACAGCATGGGATAAACTTCCACTGTTATGCTGACGATACTCAGTTATATTTATCCATTAACCCTGATGAACCTAATCGGTTGGGTAGATTACAGGCTTGTCTTGAGGACATAAAAAATTGGATGACTCTAAACATTTTGCTTTTAAATCAAGACAAGATGGAAGTTCTCATCTTTGGACCAGAAATCCAGAAAAGGAAATTGCTTAGTCAATCACCTGACCTGAATGGCATTACATTAATCTCCGAGAACAAAGTAAGGAACCTTGGTGTTATCTTTGACCAGGACATGTCATTCAAATCCCAGGTTAAACAGGTTTGCCGGATTTCCTTTTTCTACCTTTGGAATATTGCTAAGATTAGAAGCATCCTTTCCAGGAGTGATGCTGAAAAACTAGTTCATGCATTTATTACATCAAGACTGGATTACTGTAATTCATTACTCTCAGGAAGTCCACAGAATGTAGTTAAAAGTCTTCATCTTGTCCAAAATGCTGCAGCTAGAGTTCTGATGAGAATTAAAGAGAGAGAGAGATCTTATATCTCCTGTCTTAGGTTCCCTGCATTGGCTACCTGTTAAATTCAGAATAGATTTTAAGATCCTTCTTCTCACAAATAAAGCTCTTAATAATCAAGCTCCATCATACATCAGTGATCTTATTGTTCCATACGTTCCTAACCGAGCAATTCGCTCTCAGACTGCAGGTATACTGGTGGTTCCCAGAATATCTAAAATTAGGATGGGAGGCAGATCTTTTAGTTATCAGGCTCCTCTCCTGTGGAACCAGCTCCCAGCCTTAGTCCGTGAGGCAGACACCTTGTCTACTTTTAAGACTAGGCTTAAAACATTTTTATTTGGTAGGGCCTATGGTTAAAATCTGATGTTAGCCTAAATCTGGACAAGTGGGGGAGTAGAGGGAGGTGGAGTGTACAGTCGGTAAAGACGTCTCTCCCTTGCCCTGCCTCCAACATGCCTCCATCTAAATAGGATAGATTATCCAGTGTTATCTCTGTAATTATGCTGCTATAGGCTTAGACTGCTGGAGGATACACTGACCACTTTTCACACTCTACTACTTTCTTCTACAATCTGCTCTTTAAAGGTATTATTTTTTGCAATTTCAGCTGTTAACTTTATTTTCTCTCTAAGTGTTTTTCTCCCCAGAAGAAGCTACAATGATGTTCTGCTGAGCTGTGGTGGCCTCGTGGAGGGGGCTATCGTCTAGCACACTGCTGCTAACCACTTAAACATTCTCCCTCTCCTGATAACTTTTTGCTTTCCTTGATGTCGGATGTGCTACTGCTAGTTTACCCGTTTAATTATAGATCCACTAGGATAAATACAATAAAGTTCATCACTCACCAAATAGAATATTTACTAAGAAATCACTATATAACTATAGACACATTACATTGTCTTTGTCTGTGTGTGCGTGCGTGCGTGCGTGCGTGCGTGCGTGCGTGTGTGTGTGTGTGTGTGTGTGTGTGTGTGTGTGCCTGCTCTGTCTTCTCGATCCCCAGTGAGTCGTGGAGGATGGCTGCTTATACTGAGCCACGATTCTCTGGAGGTTTCTTCCTGTTAAAAGGGAGTTTTCCTCTCCACTGTCGCTTTATGCTTGCTTAGTATGAGGTAAAGTATGCTGTAAAGTCACTGACACTAGTCAGTGACTTGATGCAATTTGCTGGGTTCCTTAAATAGGAAACATTATTTCTGATTGGTTTAATGAACTGACCTGAATTGGAATGTTTATTATGTGAAGTGCCTTGAGACGACTTGAAATCAGCCAAATATGCTATTTTTCCATGGGAGACACAAAAATGTGTTTTTGAGATTTCTGACACAAGTAGCGTGAGATCCAAGTTGTTAAAAGGTGTGAAGTTCCAATAATTCAACTTTAAAACTTACTTGAATAGATTTGTATGTGTTTGGCAAAATCCTTCTTGCTCATGGACAACAGTTGAAAACTAGCTCCAGAGCTAATACTGGTATATTTACATACATGTCCATTAATGTGTACTGTCCCTCTTACATAAACTTATACATTTAAAACAAGACCAACCAGAGGTTGAAATGAAAGTAAATGAAAGAATACTCTTTCCTATGTAATTATATATTTTTATGATGTTTTGCTGTCTCCTCCCCTTCGGGATGGCTGATCGGTCTCCAACTGTCCAAAAAACACAAATGGCAGTCTATGAGCGGATTTCTGATCCTGTTTGATATGTGACATAGATTTAACATGTGATGTCCGTGAAATGCAGAGACACAGTTTGATGCCAAGAAAGCGCTTATTTTCGACAGGCGGCGAAAGTTATTTTAGGTTTCAGGTGAAAAGACACAGTGGACTACAAATGCTCGTCTCACCAAATTGACATCATTGAACCAGACAGAGAAAAGAAGAAACATGGCTGTAAGTTTAGCGAGCTTTGAAACCTTTCTGGAAGAAAGACTGAGCATTAAGCGTTGAGAGAACCCGTAAAAATCTGGCCATGTGATAAAGCAGCAGCTACGCTGGTGGAGAAGAGATTCTGCCATGTATGCGACTCGTCATAATGTATGCGTCATGTATGCGACTTGTCATAATGTATGCGACTTGCGATTTGTAGTCATTTTAATTACGAATTTTTACAAGTAAAAAAATCTCAAAGTACGTGACAGACATAGTTAACACATGCAATTATTTTTCATATAAATTGAAATGTTTAACATACTGTAGGTGAGATTCTGGGATGTAAGGCAAAGCGGATTAGAAAATAGCTTCTATAATCCTGTTCACTTGCATTAAAGATTCAAGATAATTTATACTCATTGCACAGGCGTACAACTAAATTTACTTTGCTCTTACTGAAGACAGTTTCCGTAAGGAGGTAGTAAAATATGTGTAAAATAAAATAACAAAGCCAAAATAGATGTCACACACATGCTCTCTCTCTCTCACACACACACACCTTTCACACACACACACAGCCAGGTTAAGGTGCAAAAATGTAGAAATATAATAGAAACTTGGTAATAAGACGAATCTAAACACAAACTGAAATATAAAGTAAACATAATATAAACGTAAGCAGTCACATGTTGAGGTATCAGGATGAACTAGCTTAATGTAAAGGTGCTGTAGTGCTGTGTTTCCCAACCCTGAGGACCAACTGTCCTACAAGTTTTCCATGTCTCTGCTTCAGCACACCTGATTTGCATTGGCTCCTCAGGAGGACATCAAGTGCTGCAGATACCGGTTAATCACTCATGCATTTAAGTCAGGTGTGTGGCAGCAGAGACACACCAGTGTTTGAAAGGGCAACATGGAAAACATGCAGGACAGCGATCCCTGAGGACCAGGGCTGGGAACAGCCTGGTGGTGCAAGTGTTTATTGCCCTGTATTGTTTACCAGATGGAAGAAGTTTGAAGAGGTGGCTAGCAGGGTGGGTCGAATCCTTTAGGGTGTTTGTGATTTTTCAAAGGCAGAGAGTGGTGAAGATGTCTTCCAGGGCAGGCAGGTGTGTGCTATTTTCTCTGCAGTTTTGATTACTCTCTGCAGGGCCTTCCTGTCAGCTGCAGAGCTGCTGCAGGATGCTGTTGGTCAGGATGATCTCTGTGGAGCAGTGATAAAACCACACCAGCAGTTTTTGTGGCAGGTTGATCTTCCTGAGAGCTCTCAGGATCTATAGCCATTGTTGTGCCTTCTTCATCAGACATTGGGGGTTGTGTGTCCGTGAGGTCCTCTGATAGGTTTGTGCTCAGGAACTGCATTCATTATTTCTTTGTTATATAATAAAAAAACAATTCCACACTGTTCTGTTTGAAATGGAGCTGGCGGGAAGTGCAAACACATTCTGCCCCACCCCATTAATTTATACGTTGATTGCTTCAAACCTGATCTTTCATATTATTTACTTATGGTCAAAAGCAAACTCAGGCAACATTACTTTTGGCCACAAAATATAAAGGGCCTCATAAACTTACAACATGGGTTCTATGTCCTACTGTGTGATGATAAATATGTTTCATAAAAAGGTACAATCTTAAATCTTATCCTGGTGAAACTCAAACAAAAACAGTGTTAGTAAATGTTTTGACAAGATTCAGATGTTTTTAGGTATGTGTCCATGTTCGAAACTCTTATTGTGAAGTACTGAAGGAAGTTCTTTTTTTTATGTGAACATTGCTAAAGACATAGACTCATATTCAATTAAATAACGAGTTTTTATGCTTCATTTATTAAAAATACACCAATAACTCTTGGTTAAAAATAAAATACAAACAAAACCAATGCAGTTGGTTCCAGGAGCACATTGGGATTGACACAGCATTCAACATCTCAGTTTTGGTCCTGACATTTGAAGTTTGATTTAACAGGTAGGCCAGGTCTAAAATAAACATGGGACATGTGATTTGCCCTGAGCCCAAAAACAACTGAATCTTCCCCTGCTCCAAGACGCAAAGGTGGATTGTTTTTTTTTTCCTTCAACCTGGACCAGAACAAAATTAAAATCCATTATTATTTTTCATTACTGGTGTGCCACCTTGCGTAAATGAAACAATTTCAGTCTCTTTTACCAAAAAGCAGAAATGATCCTGTTATTCAGCCTAAACGTTCCCGCGGGTGCACCAGGGAGGACTATTACACCATAATGGTTTTTCCTCGGGCTTAAGAACACTTTTACCTCCAAATTGCATGAAACAAAGACAGCATAATCTCTTTCACAGATGCGTTTTGAACGCCTACTTACAGCGTCTCCGTGCTGGCTGGAAACCTCGGGAGAGTCTCTATGTCCGCGCAGGAGATGGTGAGAGTCTCCCACTCTGAGCACTTGCACACCGCGGGGCAGGAGTCAGCCTCCGAGCCGGAGCCGCTGATGGGGAGGGAGGCGAGTGCAATCAGCGCGCATGTTATCACCTGCATGCCTGGAGTACACAGAAACCGAGCCGAGATGTTGGAAGTGTAATCCTGCTGTGGAGTCCCAGTGATCAGCTCAGGGGCCAAAGTGGCGCAGGTTGGATGCTGAGGGGCGGACAGCCGCTCTGAGGTGGGTTTGGTTGGAGGTGGTCTTCAGCCTGAAGAGAGGGTGGATTCCAGGCAATTTTAGAAAAGTTCATCCCACCTCTTTTTGAGTTGTTTCCAGATAAATTATATTTTGCTTAAGTGTCTCTTATTAATATTTCATTCAGAAAATATTGATTTAATCAACTTTAATGGTAAAAACATTTTAGTAACTTCGTTTGGTAAACCAGCCCAACGCTGAACTACATCCGAACCAGACCAACGGCTGGGCTGATTTTATTGAGAATTCCAAGCAAAAAATGTGTTTAAACAGCTAAACAGGCCTGCTGTTGGTAGCCTTACCCTAACTATAGCCCGGGCTGCAATGGCAAACCCAGTGGTTTAATTAAAACAGTAGGCTAATGTATTTGAAAAACAAAACTAATTTTATTTGAAAAATGTGATCTAGAAAATCAGCTTATACGTTTTCAGAAAAATACGTTATAGTTTAACAATATAATAATTGTACACTAACATAATAATGGTACCAATTTTATAAACGGCCCCTTTTATTAACTTTACTTAAACTATTATTAATATTAATAAAAAGCAGTAATTTTAAGAAATTAATTACTATGCAGACACCTTCTCCGGCCCTTTGTCCTATAACTTAAGGAAATTTAACAACGTTAATAAAGGGATCCTTTGTTTATTAATGCTTTATAATGTATTATGTATCGTTAATAAACGGACCCTCATTGTAAAGTGTTACCATAATATTAAAAACATAACTTAAAAAATTACGAAAAACTCAATAATTTTAAAAAGAGTTGAGTCCGGACAGGAGCTAGATTGGCTTAATATCATTAAAAATTTAAATAAGCTACATTATCAATTTTGCCCAACTTATTCAGTCTTTTTTCAGAATAAAACAAATGTGTTTTTTTTCGGCCCAAAAGGAAATGGTTTGCACTTCTAAGTAGAAGACACTTGCAGTGAAGTAAAATAGTTAAATTTTAACATAGAAAGAAAAATAACAAAACAAAAATAAAGTTATAATAATAATACTAAAAATGATTATACATTTCTTTCCTGAAGAGCGGCGTTAGTGGCGCTTAAGCATACTTCTGGACAATGTAGTTCACAAATAGCAAGTTCCCTATGATCCATGGTGAGGAGCCTACATTTCCCAGAGTTCCTTGCGGCTGTGGATGAGATCCGTTGTTATGCTGCTCAGGCGCGGCTAGTTTGAGTTGCCATAGCAGTGATGCAGAGGACTCTTTTTGTTATTAGTTTCACAGCAAACCCTCTGGGCGGCTTGGATAATGTTCTTCCATAGAATTCGTTTATCATCTCTTTTTACTTTGTGGTTTTTAAGAATATCTGGAGGTTAAACCAGCTGGTCAGCGTTTGGTTAGCTAGTTAGCTACTTCACTAGAGTTTGTTGTTAGCCAACAGGAGCATCACTCCTGACAACAATGCTCCTGACTACGGTGTGCTGGGCTGAAAATATTATAAGCAGATGTTTCGGGTTGTTGAAGTTACAATGACACCGCTGCAGTTTACTTCTGTGATGTCCAACATTACAGAAAAAGATAACGACCATTCCTGTTCGTTGGTTAGTCTGATTAGAAGCAACAGTGTTTCATAATTGCACCATTAGCGCTTTCAGACAGTGTGTGCCTTAATCTGGGCTCGTGTCAAACTATGGAGACATCCAGTGACTCGGATTCATACGAGAGGACACGAGAACACAGGCCTCGGGGACGGGAGTCCCATCGCAGAGCTGGCCGAGACAGAGGCAGAGCTGCTGGGGGTAGAGAGGAGGGACGAGCCGCTGACATCTCCAACAAGATCAGCACTCTAGCGAACACCTTACAGGTACTCTGCTACAGGACCCGAAGCATGATTATTATGCACACGTGTGTTTATTTATCTTTGCGTGTCAGGACACCAGCAGGAACTTAACCAAGGTGGACAGAATGTTGGGTCAGTACAGGGAGCATGCAGATGATCAGGCTGAAGCCATGGCACTGGTAAGACTCATGGTTCAAATGATCTACGTGATTATTGTAATTACACAGTTTTACACATTTATAATTCTGTTTTTGTCATGTAGAAGTTAACTTCTTTTCTAAACACAAAAACGTGAATTTCATAAATACAAAATTCCTGATTTTAAGTTTAATATGAAGGAAATGACTGCATTTAAAAATCAGAGATTCCAGAGTGAACAAAACCCAAAATAGGTAATATATTGGTTAGCTGATATACCTCTTTAGCAAAGCCAATTTAAAGTCAGGCACATCCACGGGCGGCCTAGTGTTGCTGCAGAAATTTGTGACGTTTTAGCATGAAAACAGGGAGCCTCTCCCCCTTTCCGGTCAGCTCTTGGGTCCCCGGAAGAATGATAAAATGAATGGAAGTGAATGTGGCTTAAAGAGATATTTTCTAATCTAATCTGCTTTGCCTAAGACCCTGGATCTGGATATGTTATACTATGGATATGTTGTAATTCCATTTAAATGAAAGGGACTGATGTGTGTTTTGACTGTGTCAGTCACGTACTTTGAGATTTACCGGTTTGTAAAAGTTCGTAGTTAGCATGACTACAAATACGTCACTTAAGTGACGTCACCGCAGAATCTCCTCTCCCCTAGCGTAGCTGCTACTTACCACATGGCCAGATTTATGGTGGTTCTTTCCTCCTGAAGGAGGGATTTGAAGTTTGCTGAACTTAAAGCCATTTTTCCTCCGCTCTTCTTTGTGTCTGGTTCGACGACGTCACTTTGGTGATGCACATTTGTAGTCCTGGACGTATTTTCACACAAAACCTAAAATAATGATCCCCCACCGTTCAAAAATAAGCATCTTCTTAGTATCAAAATGCATCTTTAAAATTCACGGACATTAAGACCTAGTCCACACGTAGCCGTTTAAAAAAAAAAACAAATATCCGCCCCTCCAAAAACTTGCATCCACACCACATCGTTTTAAAAAAACTCTGTCCACACGTACCCGGATAAATACGTTGTTAAGGACATGCCAGACCTGTAGGCGGCAGTACTTCCCCCGTTCTTAACCTCGTCCTTCGTCTGTGGTCTTCCGCAAGGAGCAGTAATTCCTCTTGCAAAAACAAACAAGCAAAAAGCGCTTGGACAATTGATAAAGCGAGCGCAGCTCTGAGGGCATCCATGCTGTCGGCTAATGTAAACACAGGTCGCACACGTGATGTCAGCATTTTTTGTCGCAGAAAGTGACGTTGCAGACCTTAAAACTCCGGTTTTGTCCGTCCACACGCAGACACCCAAAACGGAGAAAACGCAGATCTTCACTTTGGCCGAAGTTTTTAAAAAGATCCGTTTTCGTGTGAAAAAACTCCGTTTTCGTGTGGATGACAGGCCAAAACGTAGAAAAATATCTACGTTTTGGCAGATCCCCGGCTACGTGTGGACAGGGCCTGAATGTAAAATCCACGGAACATAACAAGCGGGATTAGAAAATAGTGTATTTAGCCCCGTTGACATGCATTCATTTTTTCCATTCTTCCCGGGATCCATGGTCCGGAAGTAGATGGGCGTGGCTCCCGATGAGGTGGAAAACGTCTAGACATGAAAATCAGCCCAATAATCAGCAGCGCATATCGGCCGTCAGCTGACCACACCCTCTATATCAGCATCAGCAAAATAAAACTACTGGTCGACCTCTAATCAAAAACAATACTGTTGTTGACAACATTCTTACTTTCAAATGTTTAGCTAATTCTCCTCAATAGACAGTTTTTAGTAGTTGTGATAAACATCTTTTAATGTTCATTGATGATTATCAAGTCACGAGGAACAATTATTAAATTCTTAGGCTGTGCTGATGTTTAAAATCACTTGATTCTGTTTTATTATAGATGCTTGAAAACCTGAACTTAGTCATTTTGCTTATTTCTAAATTGCTCATCAACCCCTGCAAGCTGAACTTTGAAACGGTGCAGTCGCTATCTCCTTTATCGGATACAAAAACATATTTTACCGTACTTTATTAATGCAGATTCCTAAAATTTCAAACTGCTAACTCACTTCAATCCAGCAGCGAACGCCAGGATTACAGTTGCTAATGGTAACGCTCCTCTTTTTAGCAGGCTTCTGCTTGTGTTCAGTACCATTAAATACCATTAGGAACTGCAAATCCCAGAATGCACTGGAATGATCTGTACTGCCTCAGCGGCTGGTTTGGTTTAACAACAGCAAACGTACACGTTTTTACTTTTACATAGAGGAGTGAGTTTGATGCTGATGGTGGAACAGCTGATGTTATTTGTCGGCCATGTGGGATTGTTTCTGCATCAGCTCAGGGAGAACCTAGAGGAGTCCATCAGTCAGCTGCAGACACAGAGGTTGAGCAGAGCCAGTGTGGCCCACGGCTCCTCGGCTTCCACCCTTCACACCAGTGACTTGGAGTCCCGCTCAGAATCAGGTACACAGTATAAACCAGGCAGTAGAAGTACAGGCTCAGCGTCGTTTCTAAAGACTGTTTTGTTTGGGGATTTCAGAGGGCCAGCGCTTCTATCCAACCTCTCCACTCAGAGACTACAGCAGGAGGAGGTCTCGCTCTGCCAACGTTCGCTTTAAAGATCCCAGCCTGGCAGGGCAGGACGTAAAAGGACCGGACGTAAGAGAACCAGGATCTTCTGACTCTGTGTAGTTCCATGATGCTCCACAAGAGGGCAGAATGAGCCAGCAATATCTGCTGAATAAGAGCAGCTTTTTGCTGAATTAAAATCGATTTTTTAAATTCAAAACCATGTTAAGTTTCCCATAATTAAAATGTTGTGATGCTGCTGATGGCTGCAGAAGATTTGTGGCTCTTTTCCATAGATTCACTCCTTCCACCAAACCCTGCGGGATCTGCACTGTGGTCAGCAGAGGCTCTCAGACGACCTGGACAGAGAAATCCTCAGGAGAAACCGGTATCTGCTCCTCTTCTTTCTGCATGTCACAGCTAATGACCCACAGCTGACTATACCACTCCCATTTAGCAAGTTTGAAAAGTCTCTAATGTTTTTTTATCATCACTTAGAAAAATGTTCTTCCCGTTTCTTTCTTCCCAGATCTAATAATGCTCTAACTTTCATCCACAGCAACAGAATTTATTCTCATTCACACCAGACGTCTGTAATGAAAGCTTTGTTATTACAGGCTCTTTTAAAACCCATTCTGCCTTTTAGGATGGCTAACCAACGTGTGATGCCGTAAGAGACTGATCTTTTGCTGTTCATGTAAAGAAAAGACTTACTGACTAATTGAATTAAAACGGGGATTTTAAATGTTTTTGCTGGCTTACTAAACCACTATCTCTATTTAAAGTGTGTCCTTTGATTTCATATTTGTGTGGAGTGCTGATCATCTTTAGCTTTGGATTTATCTTTGCCAAACAATGAAAAAGTAACTGGGAACGTGAGGAGAAGCAGCAAAATCCAGGCGCCCGCAGATCGTCCTCCACTCTCCGGGTTAGGATTTGACCTTTTCCGCTTATTAACAGCCCCCTTCATTGCTGCTGACCAGAACAAATCAATCCACTGTTGTATTTCAGCATCTGATGCTGAATAATTACTTTTTTAGCTGCATCACATTAAGCCTTTACAATCATATCGATCTCGTCCAAGGAATAAAGAATCCCTGGAACCTGCCTGAGTCTCAGATGAGTGGGTTTTCACTTGGCTGGGTTTGTCTGTTGTGTTCTGCAGGTCCGATATCGACACCAGGCAGGCCATGGAGAGCCTCGCGGATCACCTGACAGCTTCCCAAAGACAGGAATCAGTGAGTTGTTGCTGCAGGTTTCGCTGCCAATACCAAGTTCGGGAATCTCAAATAAACTAATATTCATGTAAAGGTCAATACGTCTGCAGTGGTCTCTAGTAGGAATAAATGTCTTGTAAGTCGTTCTCCGGGGAAACAAAGCTCTTGTGCCACAACAGAGTTGAGCTTCAGATTGCTGGATTTGAAGTCTTATTTCGTGATGTTTGGACATCTTGCCTCTGATTGGCTAAAAGCAACGAGACTACCACTGACTCCATTCATTCTGCAACGTTGATGTTTTATCTCCACAAATAACACAACCCTGAAGGAGTTCTGCTGTGTGGTGGAGTTGCTACTGCTAATGTTAGCTTTTACAAGTGGAGGCTCGTCCATAGGGGACGCTAGGGTGCCGCCCCACCACTCTCACAGGAAGAAGATAGGAATCACAGAATATTTAATAAAAAAAACTAAATCTATCATTCAGACTATAGGTCAATCTGCTCTCGGTGAACCTGCAGGAAAAGTATTTTTATCTCAGTAGAAGTAACGGCTAAATCAGTACTTTTATAACATTAAAGGTGTGGAACACTGAAAACCCTTTTTTAATGATTATTCTGACAATAATGGGTCACTGAAATTTTCATGCAGGCAGAACACGAAAATAGTCTCCTACACCTATCTCCTGCATTAGCTTCTGATAAAAAAAATAGATGCTGAAACTCTAGGATTTGAAAACCCTGACAGATCTACGTCACACTGTCACTTAACTCATACACTGCCAGCCGTTTCCTGATCAGAAAAGCCGCTATGATGATGTCGACGCCAAAACAAAACAAAGAGGAGACTCGCCTTTTACATCAGGAAGAATCCGCTCGTTTCGAGTGATATCCGTTCTTTCATAATCCGTTGTCGAATTGTGATCGGCAGATGCTTTTCCGGTTCGTGCCTCACTTTTTTTACAGCAGCGGCCCAAAACGATCTCCTAACATGGATTTTCTGCGTATGAAGTGTGACGTACGCGGATGAAGATCAGCTTTAGAGTTGGGATGTTTGTTGTCACGGTGCGGGGGCTCGTTCCGATGCCCACACAGTAAAAAAAAAACTGCAAATGACGACTTTAGTCATCACTGGCAGTGAATGAGTCAACATTCATGGACTCACCCATCTTGACTCACGACGGGGAAGGCTGTTGTTTGTTTAGGGTCCAGGAAACAGCAGAGAACGTCTCAACTAGCAGAAGCTAATTGTTAGCATTAGCAACTCCACCACACAGCAGAACTCCTCCAGGCTTGTGTTATTTGTGGAGATAAAAAAACGTTGCAGAGTGAGCGAGTCAGTGTTAGTCACGTTCTGTTATTCAACCCAGGCAAGATGTCCAAATATTAAGAAATAAGACTGAAAATCCTGTCGTGTTCTGACATTTTCTTGACATTTTCACTTGAAAGTTGCTCGTCTGGAAGCAGCCAGCGAGACGCCCGGCGTGACTTGTAAATTAACGAGGGACGGCTTTTAAATTTGATGGCAAGCCCTTCCCGCTTTTCTTAATATCTAATCTAAAATGAGTATTTTGTGGAAGTAAAATAAAAGTCTGATTATTGCACAAATCTTTTGGCAAACTTGTTCTACTGGAAATACGCGGAATGGATTAATTGCTCAGGTTGCAGCACGGATTCCCGTTTCTGATCTCAGCAGCTGCAGGTGGTTTCTTCTAGGTCATACAGACCTGGTTTCAGAAAAACATCCTCAGTTAGTGTTCTGGGTGACTGTGCACAGTCCTATCTGTGTTAACAGCTCGTTAGCGTAGATTAAATGCCGTTCATTTATAAACACATGAAGAACACAGGCTTCCAAACTCTGGACATCTCCTGTGATTTAGTTTCAAATATGTCCCTCAACAGTTTCAACTGATTGTCTCATTCAATAATAAAACATGATCCGGAAGTCTCTCTTTCTGCTCTGAGTTGCTCAGCCGTCAGACCCGCGCATCAGCCGGTCCAGAGGCAGGGAAAAGGGTTAAACCTCCAACCTTGTTTGAGCGTTGTGTCTGTATATGGAGTAAAAATATGGAATAAATACTGAAATCTAGAATGCAAAAACAATATTTACTTTAAAAAACCTGATTAAAAATGAAATGCTAAACTTATATAATTCTGTTACATAAACGAGGGAGGAGAGGTAAGGGGAAGAAAAAGTATATATATGTGTGTGTGTGTGTGTGTGTGTGTGTGTGTGTGTGTGTGTGTATATGTTTGCATATATTCTTGTTTTTAAAATTGAAATTGTTAGCCAACCAGTCCAGAAATCATTGTGTTCAAAGGTAATTTAGAATTATTCTGTTGTTTCCTTTGTGTTAATGTTATTTTAGTTAAAAGGGGCAAAAAACAAACAAACATGTTTTTCTTCTTTCTGTCCCCTTTTCATTTTATTTTTTAGTAATTTAGTTTTATATCTTCATTTTAATGTGAGTAAAAGAAAATAAAGTTGAAGAAAAAAATGTCAACAAAAACTGCAGCAAATCATAATTTTACCTGCAGTTATTGAAGCCAAACTTCACTCTCAGGAGTAAAAACACCCATGAAAATGATTACATGAATCAGGAAAGCAGGAAGACATTTTATTTCTGTTTTTACATTTTTTTTACTTCAGTTCAAAATATTTAGAATTTAGAGTTTTCATCACATTTAGCTTGTGTTTAATTTAAAGAGCAAGTCACCCCCTACAAGAAACTTACTCCATTCCCTTCTCAGGTTTGAAAAATGCAACACATGCTGTTGCCTGGCAGATCGAGAGGGCGGAGCCGCTAACAAGTACACACACAGGGTCACAACAACATTGTGACATCATAATGTGCCAGCTAACATCATTAGGCGTGTTTCCACTACAAGAACTTCAGGAACCTCTCGACATGCGCGTGATTCCAACTGACTGGACCATCCAAACAGCCATTTTTTGGGCCGTTTTCAGGAACCTTCTGAGTACCTGCTCTGGAGTAGGTACTCCAAAAGGCCCGGTGAAGTAGCTGAGGGGAACCTAGTCTCTTTCTGGAGTAGTTCTCTTATCCGATGGCACCATCTAGTGGCTGACAAGCATATCACACAAAAAGTCTGTCGCTCAGTTTTTTTAAGATGGCGGCTTCACGTTTTTGTTTATAAATGTGCCTCTGTAGCTAACAAACAGCTAAAACATGTTGTTTTACAAGTATTATTCTCATGTCATGTTGTGTTCTCATATATTTATATTTTAAAAACTTACTTGTCCGTGAAAAGTTCATCAACTCTGCTTCAGCCGAGGTATTCCTTAAATTTGAAGCAAGTAAGCGGTAGTCTAACACTATTGGTTAGTTCTGGTCGGCGCTCAATGTCCTATTGCATGGAGGCCTGCGGGGCAGGGGGCATGCTTAGCAAAGAAAAAATATGTATTGCTTACATCACATCACAGTACATGATGAGATAATCATTTTTTTGGATTTCTGAAAAACCAAACATAATTTCTGAAAGTAGAAAACTCTAGAAAGATACTTTAACTCATGTTGACTGGTTGTAACTCAGTAGGAAATGACATCAGCAGTCGTCCAAAACAGCCGGCAGCAGAAGAGTAGCTGGTGAAGCAGAATAGAAGCAAAAAAAAAAAAAAAAAAAAAAAAAAAAAGCACTGATCGCATTTAAAATCTAACTCACAACACCGGAAAACGTTGGTTACGTATTGTAACCCCAGATTCTATGAGTCTAGTCGCAGCCCTTAAGCTAGCTGCAATTGGAAGGATGATCTCCGCATCAGCCAATCATGAAGAGCTAAAATGTACGCCCACCAATAGTGGGCCCCCTCGTGGTATATAACCGCAGTGACCCCACTGCTCACCTCCAGTGGCTCTTATTCCCATCATAACCAGTGGGGCCAGTGGCTTAAGGGCTGCGACTAGACTCATAGAATCTGGGGTTACAATACGTAACCAACGTTCTATTTCGTCTAGTCTTAGCCCTTAAGCTAGCTGCTATTGGAATAAAGAGCAGCTGGATGGGTTTATGCCCCACTGGTTAACACAACCAATGGACACACCCAATCAAATCTCCTCTAGTGGGGGACGGTCAGCCTCAGACCAGGCTTAAAGACTGAGGCAGCCACAATAAAAGAGGGGCCCCCACTAAAAAACATCATCCACAAGAGGATGAAATCCATCTCAGCAAGGCCAGTGAGGTGCCATAAGCATTCATTTAGCCTGCTGGGGTCCAAGCACTGAACGAGTGATGGAACCTGAAGACACATCTCGTAAATAATAACGAGTGAAGGAACAGGGTGAGACCCATGAAGCAGCCTGACAAATGTCTTCCATTGACACACCACTGAGGAGCGCCATCGAAGAGGAAATCCCTCTGGCTGAGTGAGCCCTGAGTGCCTCAGGGGGATCCTGCCCTGATGATGTGTAAGCGAGGGAAATGGCGTCACACAGCCAGTGTGAAAGACGCTGGGCCGACAGCGCCTGACCAAGGGAAGACTCCCTGTAGTGCACAAACAGGTTTTGTGAGCGACGAATCCCTGAAGTGCGTGACACATATCGTGCAAGCGCGCACACCGGGCAGAGAAGGTGCAAAGCCGCCTCCTCCTCAGAATTATGGGGAGGAGGAAAAAGTCCAGCCAATGAAATTGACCTGGATTTGAAGGAAGCATTAATGCTTTTGGGCACAAAGGCTGGGTTGGGGCACAAAACAGCAGACCCGCCATCCTCCCGGATCCTGAGGCATGCGGGAGCCACTGAGAGGGCGGTCAGGTCACTCACTCTCTTAACTGATGCTAGCGCCAGCAGCAATGCAGTTTTAAGCGACAGGAACTTGAGTGAGACCTGGTCCAAGGGTTCAAATGGGGCTCCAGATAAGCCACGCAGAACCACCGTTAGATCCCATTGGGGAAAAAGCGGGCGGGACACAGGTCTGTTCCTCCTGACACCTTTTAGAAAACGTTTTGTGAGGGGATGATTGAAAACAGATCTATCTCCAAAACCCTGATGACAGGATGAGATAGCTGCA